GAGAATTTGCCTTTAGGTGGTAGTGTGCGACTGATCAAAAATAGGCAGAGTTTAAATTAACCAATAAGAGCAAAGTAGTAGTGTATGTAAAAGTTGTCATCAAATATGAATACAGAGTTTAGCAGTTTGCGCGCGCAATAGGCAGTGGCTTATGCAGCGATCAGACTGCTGAGCTCTCAGTCGAGYGAAATGCTCGACACAAGTTGTCTTACACTCGAACTGGTCGGTTGCCGTCACTTCGCTCCGCAATACACTGTAGTGTATTGTAATACATTGTATTAGTATTATTTTATATGTTTTATTAATAAACTCGGTTTTGGTTATAAGTCCCGAGTAAGTCATTTGGGCCTTTGGCYCGTACTTTCTCTCTCTCTCTCTCTCTCTCTCTCTCTCTCTCTCTCTCTCTTACTTTCTCACTTCATTTCATCTCTGGGCTCTCTTGCCGTGTCAGTCTCGTGTTCCCTTCCCGTGTCTATCACCACCACCACTAAACACATTGGCCGATACTACACCGCTCAACACTTAGGCCGATACAGCACCGCTCAACACTTTGGCCTATGCAGCACCGCTCATCACGTTTGGCTCTCCATAGCCGTCACAGCTCAACGCCAGATCCATACCGTGGTCGCAGATGTCATCACTACTATGGTGTTGGTGCCGACTCAACACTAGGACCGACAACACTTTGGTGCCGATAACGTCGAGCCAGCACCGGACACCTTAAGCAACCAATCCAACCGTTTCAATATTATGATGCCAAAAACGACCAATTTGAATCGGCTACAATTGTAAAAACAACCGAAATTCCAAAATCATTTATTGTCTCAATAGACAGTCAAGAAACGAGTATAAAATATACGTATGAAAACACATTTAAAGAAAAACTAACAAATATGAATATGGCTGCTGAATTCAAATTGAATTTATTATGCGGATTGCCTAAAATCGAAATAGGTGGTTCGGCCGAATTTTTATTGGACAAAAAAACTATATACAGAAGTGCAAAAGTTACGCTGATTGTGTCCATTCAGACAAAATACGATTCCATTAGTTTAACGGATGAAAACATTAAAAGACTGGTAGATATGAATTATTTGAAAGAGACCAATGCTACACACGTTGTTACAGGAATAAGATGGGGTGGATTTACAACAATTACGGTCCAATCAACTAATATAACTAACACAGATGTTTTAAGTATCAAAGGTAGTATGGGTGCTACAATTGAGCTGGCATTTGGTCAGATAACCGGTAGTATTTCGGGAGGTATTAATGATAAGGTAAAAGAAGAGCTTAGTCGCTACACGTTTGTTATGCGCAGTGATATAATTCCTGTTAAAACACCAAGCACAATTGAAGATGCATTTCTATTTGCTAGCAATGTTTCTGGTTATTTAAAACAAGCCAATAACGGTGCTGGTAAAAAAATCGAGTACAAGCTAACAACTGTGGATCATATCAAAAATATTTGGAAACAAGATATTAAAAAAGGTGTATTAGTCAATCAAATCGATGAAAATACTATCAACGAATGCATTCAACTATTTGACGATATGACAGACATTGAACTACAATTGCAAGATTGTTTGAATAATTTTGAAGCTATGCAAGAATATATTAGTGACAGTTTTATGAATGAACTGAATCAAATTAACAAGGATTATGGTAGATATAAAGTTTTGCAGAAAAAATCTCTAAAGCAAATACTTATTGAAATCCGATCTGGCAATGCTACTAACGATAAATTAATTAATGTTCTCCTGAATCCGGCAAACGATATCTATTCAAAAGACAAAATGCTCGTCAAACTAACTAATTATAATAATCTGTATAAAAAGTTACAGCGCGTTAATACAGTTGGCAACTATAGTACTGACTGTATTATGAATAAATTTAATACACTTGAAGACAAATTTGATATCCATTATGACAAAGATGTCTACGTTTTGTATTATAATTGGAGAAATTATGGTATAAATCAACTTAATAGTGATAAATTAATAATCGAAAAATTTCGTAAACTGTCTGAAGTCTACATAAATGCCAACAATAGTGATCATGTGTTTTGTACATTTAATTACGAAGTCGCTAATCAAACATATAATATGAACAATAGCAACTATCAGTCAGCAAAAGTTAGTTTCTATAGAAACGGTAAACTGATTAACGAAAATATATTTGAAGGCAATACTAGTTTTAACTTAATGAATGGCGAGTATATTTATATTTGCGGCAAATTTAGTAATGATGATCTTTTGTGCTACAAATATGATATCACTCTCAATATTTGGTCAACAGTTAGTCCGATGTTAGTATTTAGAGCTGATTTTCAATTCATTTTATATAATAAGAATTTATATTCAATTGGTGGCATAAGAATGGTAACTATTTTAGATAATTTATTTTTTTCTTTTGCATTTATATTTTATTTTGATTAGTTAAAAAAACATGAATATAGTCAAGAATTTTGTACAAATATTGTGGAAGCTTATGACCCATTAGCCGATAAATGGAAGTACATATCGCTATTTAATTATGCAAGAAGGTTATTATTTAAAATTTTTCAATATTAAATATTTTTATTTATTAAATATTTTTTAATAATAAATTTGATAATTTATGTATTTTTAATTATTTATTTATTAGTGATATGGGTGTTACAGTCTTAAATAATAAAATTTATATGTGCGGTGGCCATAATGGTTCATTTTTAAAAGACTGTCAGACTTACAATTGCGGTAATTACTGCGACACTTTCTGGAAGTATGATATGCAATCTATGAAATATGGTCATGCTAAATCTCCATTGGTTAGCCACCTAGGCGATATTTATGTAATCGGAAATGTCTATTATGAAAATAAAGTTAATACTATAGATAAATATGATACAATAGCTAACCAATGGTTTTATGTTACTCACGTAATAAATAATGAGAGAATGTATATATTTTTTTATCTTAGTATTTTTTGCTATTGATTAACTATTTTAATTAAATTTTTAATAATATATATTTTTTATATATTAGCTTTTCAGCTGTATCATTTATGGGTAAAATATATATGTGTGGATATATATGCTTGTCATACGATACAAATTTAGATAAATTTGTTGAAATTGGTTTGTTAAATTTATTTACTCTTTTTATCTTTATAATTTTTATTAAATTTTAATTCTAGGTTCAATAAATACCGATCAATTAAATATTAGACTAATGGTTGGACAAAATAACATTTATGCAATTACCGGATTTGGTATGTTTTTAAAATGATTTTTCATTATTTTTTGTTTTTAATTTTAGATTCTATTTAGATTTTTTTTTTAAAAAAAAACAAGAATATAAGCTTAATAATATATTTACGATATTTAATGCTTATTTTTTTTATTTTAGATTTTGATTTATTTATTTGTTTTGATTATTTATTTTTATTTTTTTTTGTTGTAAATATATTTTTAGAACAATTATTAATTCATGTATATGATTTATCTACCAATTCATGGTCACTATTGACAACATTGTCTAATAATTTGATTGAATTTGGAGGGGTAATTTTAATTATCTAATTATTATTATTTTTAAATTAAAACTTGATTAATTATTTTTTCCATTGTATCTAGGCAGCATTATTTTCATTATGAAAAACAATTTTTATTTAATCAAAAATTTTTGTTTTTGGCTATAACTTTTTTGCAAATTATTTACTAATTATTTTTATTATTTACTAATTATTATTATTATTTACTAATTATTTTTATTATTTACTAATTATTTTTATTATTTACTAATTATTTTTATTATTTTATAATTATTTTACTTATTTTCTAATTATTTTACTTATTATATAATTACTAATAAACACATTTATTTAGATATTCACAATCAGTTAATTATAAATTTAATATAAATTTTTGTTAAACAAGAATTTTATATTTTATATTGAATTTGTAAATTTTTTTTTTGAATTAACAATAAAATATTTTTAAAAAATATATTTATCTATTATACTGTACTTATCTATTATGTTTTCATAAATTAAGTATTTTTAAAATTATTATAAATAATTATTTTGTTTATTAAAATAGACATTAATATAATTCTAGAGAAATTTAATTTTATTGTAATACTATGTTATACCCACCCGCACCCCCCCTCCCTACCCAATATCTATTGTATAAGAATATATTAATAATGAGACTCTCACACCCCCCCCCCCCAATATCTATAGCTATTGTTTAATAATATATTAATAATAATACATTAATACTATTCATATAACATTATACTATAGACTACAATACAAAATTAATATCTATATATAATTATAATTATTTAATAATGTTTTGTTAAAAAAAATTTTATAATTATTTTATATAAAATTTAAAATAACTAAATAAATTGTTTTTTTATTATTATTAATAATTAAAAGGTTTAATTTAACTTTTACCGGTATATTATATTAATAGTTAGAAAATAATCATAAGATATATTTATAGTATTAATTTTTATCACTGATATATATATATATATATATATAAAGTATATATATATCATTGTCTAACATTTATTATTATTTTCTTAAAATATATATATATCAGTTTATTTTTAAAAAATAAATTATTTTATTACATCATGTATTATACACAATAATAATAATAATACTGTACTAACAGTTAGTTTAAGTGACATCTAGTGATTGATAGTATTTTTATCAAAATTTTTTTTGCTATTGAAAATTTTATTACGTATTTTGCAAAATATAATATAAATGTTTTTTTTTTAAATGTATTATACATATGTACAGTAAATTATATGCTATTATAATCATTATATAACTTATTATTAATTTTTATTATACAGTATATATATATATATATATAATATAATAGTATATATATGAATACATAAGTACTTAAATTTACTTTACGTTATATACTGTATATTTACACATAGTAACAGTGATAATACTTGTATACATGTATAAAAAAAATGTAATGTTTTTTTTATATACTGTATAATAAAATTGTGTAAAATTATTATATAATAACTGATCACATTGTAGGTGTGGTTATCTAATACTTTATTGTCCAAAATAAATACAGTAACCTAACTATAGGTTAATAACACCAGTAGTTTAATAATAATAATAATAATAATAATATGGGTGTCCAGGGATTGATGGGCTTTATTAAGGCTCATAGTCAGCAACTGATAACTGGCCATCACTTACATGAAACCTATTTGGTTATCGATGGTAACAATCTATTGTATAGACTGTACGGTTGGTCCAGTAATGATAGTAAAAACTTTATCTATGGCGGCGACTATACCCGGTTTGCCGGTGCTGTCCATCAGTTTTTTACTACACTAACCAGTTGTCGGATACAACCGGTTGTAATAATGGACAGTTGTCTGGATTGGTCGGGCAATAAATCGCTTAACTGTTTTGCTAAGCATTTTGTTAGTGCCATTAAGTTAGTAAATTCAACCGAAACTACCGCAACCGCAACCACTACTACCAGTGCTAAAAGTTTGGACAGTAGTAGTAATAGTAGACGTAGTCATAAAAATGATGGTAATGTCTCCATATTGCCAACACTGTCCAGACAAGTGTTTCATCAGGTATTGGATCAGTTGTCGATAGCCTGCTGTCAAGTCAGACACGATTGTGACACCTATATGATAGCACTGGCCAATCAACTCGACTGTCCCGTAATGTCCAGCGACAGTGACTTTTTTATCTACAATATCAGCGCCGGTGTTATACTAATACATAACGATTATCAACAGTTTGATAGTTCAATGACTGTCAGACATTTTGAAGACCGTAATAATTGGCGTAATCGACAAACGTATAGATATTTGAATACAAAATTATATAAAATTGATAGACTATTGAACTGTTTTCCTGGACTAACCGTTGATTGTCTACCGGTGTTCAGTACACTAATGGGCAACGATTGTGTGAATTATATTGATATGAAACCAATTGTTGAAAATGATATACCCGTTGATGACTGTACTGACCGTACAAATAGATTTCTAAGTCAAAGATATTCATATGAAAAACATCGACAAATGGTTAAAGTATTGAATTGGTTGAGACAACAGTCAAGACAACAGGCCATTGAATCAGTTCAGTCGATACTAACTAATAGATCGATGACTGATCTACAAGAAACAGTTGAAAAGTCAATTAAAAAGTTTACCATTGATTATGATTCAAGTCATACCAGCGAAACCTATTTCAATCGATCAACCAATTCATTCAATTGGACAGAAATGGCCACAAAAATGATGGACAGTAGTCGCCGGCCATTATGGCGTTCAATTGAATGGTGTAAATGTCATCTGGTTATGGTGGCTACTGCATCACGTATCGAAGATCTAGCACTAGTATCTACCTACCAGTGCTCATGGAAATTAAAACAGTATATCTATGCATTGAAAATTGTTGATGACGATGATGATGGTAATGATGGTAATGATGGTAATGATGGTAATGATGGTAATGATGGTAATGATGGTAATGATGGTAATGATGGTAATGATGGTAATGATGGTAATGATGGTAATGATGGTAATGATGGTAATGATGGTAATGATGGTAATGATGGTAATGATGGTAATGATGGTAATGATGGTAATGATGGTAATGATGGTAATGATGGTAATGATGGCAATGATGGTAATAGTGATAGTAGTAGTAATGGTAGCGATGATGAAGATATAAAGCACGAGACGTTATTTTTAGATAGATTTCAAAACAAACTGAAAGTATGTTCATTGAAACCAATGGTTAAATTAGCCAAAAGTGGTCGTCCAGTACCACAATTGAATCAAATAAGTGATTTAACAATCACTGAAAAGTATGAATTGATTTCCGAAATGTTATTCGACGACAAAGACCAGCTTCAGTCCATCGTTGATGAAACCAGAAGTTGTTGTCTAATTGGTCTTCAATCAGATGAAGAACTAGTATTTCTGATGATTGTCATCAGGTATTGGTTAGGAAACACACCGAACCAGATATGGTATGAATTCCTCTATTCACTAATCATTTGCATACTATTTACTGGTCATTACACTTACGATGACAACAACTACCATAACTACTATCAACCCATGAAATTGATTGAAACTGTCGACAGAAAACAGACTAAAGATTTCTTGAATTCAATGAACAGACCGTTGAATGGCAGCGAACAGCCGTTTATCGCAAGAATTGTTCACTTTTACAATGAATTGCAAAACTGTTTGACAGACATACGGACCATCAATACTGAACTACAGTCACCCATACCTATGGGTTGTTCACCAGATATATGTCTGTGCGGATCGTTTATCTATACACTAACCAAACGGTTGACACAAACCGCTGATCCGGTTAGTTATCTTAAGCAACAGTTTGGACCAATCGGTTCAACCAACTATTGGCAACTAATTGATAGTTTTATGCAAATTGCTGTCACAAACAACAACAACAACAACAGCAATGTTAGCATAAATGATAAGTTGATTCAATGTCCTAAAGATTTTGCCGATAAAATGTGTGATTAATTAGTTATTATTATTTTTTGTTGCACTTATATATAATAAAATATATTAAAATTATATATTTTATATAATTTTATATTATATAATAATATTATAATTAATTGGAAAAAAATTTGATATTATAAGTTACTTTATAAGTAGATTATTATAATAATAATAAATCTTAATATTTGAACTTATAATATGTTTTATTATCATCAAAATTATAATCATATACAGTATATATAAAAATTCAAAAAATAAATATTTATTATTAATTGGAAAAAATTTGATATTATAAGTAACTTACAGTATATATAGTAATAATAATAAATCTTAATATTTGAACTTATAATATGTTTATTATCATTAAAATTATAAATACAAATATTAAAAACTTTTAATTTTCAAAATATTTATTATTATTTTTCTAATTATAAATCAATATTTATTATACAATTTATCTGTAAATAAATAATTATTGAATATTCTGTACGATTTGTTTGCATAATAGTTGACCGATGAAGCCGTCAATATAATGAATATGAATGATAAACTAAAAACAGTGAACGTATACAATAATATCAATCGGGTGGCCAGAGTGGCCAACTCGGCAAACAATAAACTATACAACAACATCACAGCAGCCGAACCAAACGTAAACCAATAGTATAGCAAAAATTTGGACCAATAAGACTGATTATAGTCATCGATTTCGCCGACCAATTGATCCATTGATTTCAATAGGTTTCTAACTAACCGATAGTTATAGTTTCGGTGATTGTATAGACATATTGGGGACAGTTTACTATAGACTGTTGTCTGAAATTTTAGTTTGAAATACAGGCACAGTATGTAAAAGTAGATCATCTGATAGAAAATAATGTTGACTATTGAATGGGCAAACTGGCAAAACAATAGGCTATTGGGTAGGCCATACACTAGGATCTCCCATTTGGTCAACTTTGGCAAATAGGTAAGTGCTGGTAATAGTAGAAATACAATGGGATATACATAATCGTTGCTAATCTGACTTAACTGGCATAACCAGCGCATACGTTTGATTAACTTTTGTAAACCATTGTTGTTGTTGGTTAGACCAACTGTTGATGGCTTAACCAAACCGGACATTACTAGAAATATTAGTAAAAATGTCGGTTTTATACCCGACCGGTAATTGAAGTAATAGGTCATCAACGATAACATTGTCAACACTGCTACCAGTATATCAATTAAGCTGTTTACTGATTGAATGCCCCAAAAGTAGCCCATATCGCCTAACTGGGCAAACAATAGCCAATTGTTTTCTGATTTAGTCGTATCGATGGACATACATATGAATCTTTCCGATAAAAATATTACAATAATTGTTGTAATAATTATCGGTCGGTTAAACCATTTTCTTGTTGGACACCAATCGGTGTCTAAGACTAATCGATCGGCAATTAAGCCGATTCGGTACAAATGAAATGCTGACCACTTGTATGCAACAGTTGACGACACAAACATTATATCAATAAATATATTATACTATATATTGAATATTATGTAAAAAAATTAATTTATAATTAAAAAATTATTTTCATCAATCAATTGTATTGATTGTTAATTTATTTTATTTATTTTTGAAAAAATATATAAATCTTAATTTATTGCAATGAAAAACAAATTAAAAAAAATTATTATTTATTTCTATTGCTAATAATTATTAGTGATATGAATATTAATACTGTATTAATATTATTATAATTTTAAATAAATTACTAAATTTTAATAAAAGTTAAAATATATTAAATTTATAAACATATATTGTAGTTAATAAATTTTAATCACTGTATTATTATTATTATTATTATTATTATTAGATTAAAAATATTATAAGTGCAATTTCTAAATATAGAATAATAATTATTATATGTTATTATATTTTATATAATTAAAATTTGTTATTTTACAATAAAAATATTTATTAATTATTATTATTATTATTATTTGATTTTAATTATTATTTTTTAATTATAGCGTCCTATTGATTTAATTACTATCATATATATATATAAAAAAAATCATATACTAATAATTAACAATATTCATTATCATATTGGATATATAAATAATAATAATAAAAAATTATTATTATTATATAATTATAAAGATAATTATACTTAAATACACTAAAAAAAATTTAAAATAATAATTATGATAATAATGATGACATTTTCAAACAATTCAAAATATAAAATACTGTAAATAAAATTATAAAATAAATATTATATCATTTTTTATTGAATTGATAAAAAATATTAATGGGAGTATTTAAAAAAATTTAATTTAAATATAACACAAACAATTAATTATAATTAATTATATACATTAAGTCATTGTAATATTTATTATTGATATGTTTTTTATAATAATAATATACAGTATTTTTTTTAATAAATATTTTTATTTTCAGTGATATAATAAACAAACTGTAACTATATAATGTGGTGTGACTTTTATAGATAAAGATTAGATAAAACAAATAAAATAAAATTTATAATTGCTATTACATTACAGTGTACAGTATATTAATATATATAAAACATACAGTTTATTATGTGTATAGATAAGCATAGTATTTATCACCACTACATAGTTTTATTATCAAATAAATAAATGTAAATAAAATATACAGTATATAATAATAGAAATTAATGTCAGCTAAATAAACATTTTAAAAAATATTTTTTTTTAGTATAAATTAGAAAAAAAGTGTACAATAAATAATTTATTATTAATTTATCCATTAATATATTATTATATATTATATATAAATATATCTATTAAAACAAAATTATATTGTAGTTTAAATTTTGTTAATTTTGTGATTTATAATTAATTAATTAATTTTTTGTTTGTTTGTTATAATTATTAATATTAATGAATTATATAAATTAATTATTTATTATCAAAAAAAAATTATGTTTAATTTATTAACAATTTATTTTGTTTTGTTATTTTATTTTGTTTCAAATAATTATTACATATGTATTACATGTAATCAGTTATCAGTGCCGACAGTATTACTGACACTACACGGTAGGGGCGAATCGGCTACCGCTGGCAATGCCCAACATTTTGTCGATCGACTAAACGGTTACCTAAAAAACCAATCAATTCAGTCATTGAAAGTCATAAACATAGGTCTGAGCGACTCGAGTACCGATGACTACGACTGGTCAACCTATCGGTCGATGAGCTATCAATCCGGACAACTGTGCCAACAGTTGCGTAGACCACAGATTTGGCAACAATTGATGAATACAACTCAGAGTAGGCGTATAGTTTTGGTAGGTTTTTCGCAGGGAGGCCTACTATGGCGCGGTATGCTATGGGGTCAGTGTTTGGATCCATTGCTACCCCGTTTGGATCGACTGATAACGTTTGGCGGTCCCCATTCGGGTGTATTCGGTAAACCTGATTGCCGGCAAATGGATACCCGATACCCGGCTCTGATCAAACTATGCGATTGGCTGCAAAAGTTTGATGACCTAACCGGCCGTGGACCGGGACTATACGATATTGTTATGTACACTGAATTGGCTGAACTGGCATTTTCGGCGGCCAGCTATTGGAATGATCCGTCAAGTAGTCGCCAATCTAGGACATGGTTAGCCCAGATTGACAATCAAAACAATGGTGACACCAATGGTACTGATAAATACCTGTCCCGTAAACTCGGTCGCGGTTTAGCGCTGATAGCGTTCGGCAATGAGTCGACAGTTTTGCCGCCAATTAGTTCCCAATTCGGTTCGTGGGATTCAATGGCCAGAAATTGGTTGCCGTTTAATGAGACTAAACTCTATACGGATGATTGGATTGGTCTAAAACAATTGGACCAAAATGGCCTAGTTCAATTTTATACAATTCCAAATGAAACACATATGTCTATACCGGATGATTTTATTTATGATAAATTTTTACAATTTTTATAAATATTTATTTTTTCAACTAAATATTTTATAATTACTGATTTTTTAAAAAATATATATATATATATATATATAAATTATTAATAAACAATATAAACATATAATATAACAATTAATATACTGTATAATTACTTTTTGAATTTAATCTTGAATATATATATATATATATATATATAATGTATATTATTATTAACTAAACATTTTTTAATCATTTAATAACAATTATATTTTGTTAATACAATTTTGCTTAATTTATTTAATATAATACTATAAAAATAATAATGATTAACAATAAATTGAATTACATTAATATAAAAATTATTAAATTAATTTTATTTAAAAAATAGTGCAAATAATATATATATAAAACTAGTTAAGTAGTTAATTAATAATTTATAAGATAAACAAAATATTTTTAACAACTATTAATATTTGGTGTAATAATTAATCTAAATATTAAAACAAATGTTATTTTTCTTTGAGAAAAATTTAATTAAATATATATAAATAAATAAATAATAATAATTATAGTAATTTTATAATTATTTATTTTTAACATTTAAATAACAATACTGTTTTTATTGCTATTATGTTATTAACTAGTAATTTGTGTATAAAAAAAATATATTTTTTAAAATATAAAATAAACTAATACTAGTATTTATATTTACAGTAATATTAAATAAAATTTTAATATATATCTAATATCTAACTAATCAAAAGCCACACCACATTATATTATTTTGTTTATTATATACTAAATAAAAAATAATTAAAAAATTTTTAGTAAAATTTCTAAACATAAATTATATCTATTAAAATCTGTATAATTATATGATTTAATAATTTAGTGCATTTTTATTGTCTATTATTTGAAAATGTCATTATTATTATTATTATTAGTATTTTATTTCAGGTGTACTTAAGTATAATTAACATTATAATTATAATAAACATTTTTTTTGCCTAAAAATGCTATGATATAAATATTGTTAATTTTTAGTACTATTATTATTATTTTATTATTAATAATAATATTTATTAGTAAATATATATCAAGTACATATACCAATTAAATAATATTAATTAGTATAAATATATAATTATTAAGTGCAAAATAATTAAATTTAATTATATATATTTAATGTTATACAGTTGTATTTATATATATTTTAAAAATAGCATTTATTTTATTTTTATAAAAATACTAATAATAATAATAATAATACTGTATAACAATAATTAATACAAACAACTATTTATAAGCAAAAATGTTTAACATTAGTTAATCAAAATTACTAGTACTAGATATTAGACTAATTTTAATTAATTTTTAATATAAAATTTTAGTTATTTAAAAATTTAGGGGCAATTATTAGCAATAAAATAAATAATAATTTTTTATTTTTCATTAGTATTAATAAAAAAATGTTTATTTTGTCAAAAAAAAAATAAAAACTAAAATTTACAAAATCAATACGATTGATGAAAATAATTTTTTTTAATTATAAATTTAGAAAATATTTTATATAAAAATTATATAAAAATTATATTAATTTATTAAAAAAAAAATGTTTGTGTCGTCAACTGTTGACTACTATAAGTGGTCGACATTTCATTTGTATCGAATCGGCTTAAGTTCGGACCGATTAGTCTCAGACACCGATTGGTGTCCAACAAGAAAATGGTTTAACCGACCGATAATTATTGCAACAATTATTATAATATTTTTATCGGAAAGATTCATATGTATGTCCATCGATACGACTAAATCAGACAACAATTGGCTATTGTTTGCCCAATTAGGCGATTTGGGCTACTTTTGGGGCATTCAATCGATAAACAGTATAATTGATATACAGTTATCAGTGTTGACACTGTTATCTATGATAACCTATTACTTTAATTACCGGTCGGGTATAAAACCAACATTTTTACAAATATTTCTAGTAATGTCCGGTTTGGTTAAGCCATCAACAGTTGGTCTAACCAACAATAACAACAATGAGCTACATAAGCTAATCAAACGGATGCGCCTATTATGCCAGTGCTGTCATATTAACAACGATTATGTATTTCCCATTATACTACTAGTGTTGCCAATTGTGACCTATTTGACCAAATTGACACCATCGGGACTATTGTTGTACGGCCTACCAAATACCGTATTGTTTTGTTTGTTTGCCCATTCAATAGTCAATATTGTCAACTATCAGATGATTTACTTTTACATACTGTGCCTGTATTTGAAACTAAAATTTCAGACAACAGTCTATAGTAAACTGTCCCCAATATGTCTATACAATCACCGAAACTATCGTATACTTGAGATATTGAAATCAATGGACCGATTGGTCGGCGAAATCGACGACTATAATCAGTCTTATTGGTCCAAATTTTTGCTATACTATTGGTTTACGTTTGGTTCGGCTGCTGTGATGTTGTTGTATAGTTTATTGTTTGCCGAGTTGGCCACTCTGGCCACCCGATTGATATTAATGTACGGATTCATTGTTTTTGGCTTATCATTCATATTCATTATATTGACGGCTTCGTCGGTCAACTATTATGCAAACAAATCCTATAGAATATTCAATAATTATTTATTTACTGATAAATTGTATTATAAATATTGATTTATAATTGTAAAGGAAATATAATAAAAATGTTTTTAAAATAAAATTTATTTTATAAATATTTTTTTTTAATATTTATATATATTATACTATTGATGATAGCAAACAAATTAAGTTCAAACATTAATATTTACTATTATTATAAACTCATAATATATAACTTTATAAGTAACTTATAATATCAAATTGTATTAAAAAATATTGATTTATAAAAGTCTAGTAATATTAAAAAAAATTATATAATTTTGATTATTAAAAACATTACTAATGAAATATTAAGATTTATTATTATATAAAGTAAATTATACTATAAATTATTTATTAGTAATTATTTTTAGATAATCTATTAATGTCACAATTTTTTTATTTGAATTATTATTTGTGATTTTATTTATTTAATAATTAAATTAGATAAGTTATATACAAATATTTATATATAAATATTATAAAATTTTTAACTTTTAAAAAAAATATAATATAAATAAACAAATTACTATCTCGTTAATTGATACAGTACATTTAGAGCAATTTAAAAATAAACAAAAAAAACATTTAATAATAATAATTTAGAAACTTAATTTAAATTAATTAAAATCTATTAGATATATATATATTTATATATTAATTGTACCATGATCCATGTTTGAATTGTTATTATTTTCCCAAATATCCCGTATACCCATTAAAACCATCATCGAAAATGTTTGGCAATGGTTTTAATTCAACTGTGCTTGATACTATATTATTATTTTTAAAAAAAAATTAGCAATGAATATAATAATAATAAATATAATTATTAATTAACTGAATAATTAATTGAATAAAAATTATAAAAATAATTATAAGTAAAAAAACAATAAATAATACTTACATATAGCAACTACGCTAACGACTAGTCCAACAATTAATATAATAAAACGATTCATTGTGTTTTTTTATTATTTTTAAAGTTTTAGTTTAAAATAATTTTTTTGTGAGTGTGTGTGTGTGTGTTTGATTGACTACATATACCGGTATATATATATATATATACCCTTAAATTTTTTTTATACATATGTATATTGAACGTATGTTAATTAAATTGTTTAATATTAGAGATATGTTAAAAATAAATAAATATATATTTAAAAATAACTTACGAAACATAATATTTTTATTTTGAAAGAAATTTATTATAATTTATTAATTGAATAAACAATTTTTCAAATCTATTTATTTTTAGTTTTAAATTTTTGTAAATTGAATTATTTTAAATGTATGATTGTTTGTTTGTTTGTTTTTTTTACCAAATAGTTTTTTAGTTTAAATAATTAAATAAAAATAAAGATTAGATTTTTACAAAATTCTTAAAAAATTCAATAGAAATATATATTTTTTTTGAAAAATAAATAAATTTTAATAATATATTCAAATATTTCTATTTTTGTTTTCATCTGTTAATTGACGCAATAGTTTCCAAATATTATGTACTAATTATTTATAAATAACTTTTTTTAATAAAATTACTTTTTTTAAATGTATTTATAATATTAAAAACTATTAATTAATTAATTTTTATAGAACTTTTGTTTTTTTAGTTTATGTTTTTAATAGATATCTAATAACACAATCTAATGTAATATAATTTATAAAACAAAATTATATTATATTATATTGTAAATATTATTTTTTTTAATATCATAATAAAACAATAAATTTGAATAATTTAAATAAATAATAATAATTTAAAAGCTTTAAACTGTAATAAATATTGTAAATAATAATAATTATTATTTTTTTAAAAACTATTAAACATAGTAATTACAAAAAATAATTTATTTAAAAAATAAGTCCGAATATATGTAATTATAATTTTGATGATAACAAACATATACTATAAGTTTAAATATTAAGATTTATTATTATTATTATATACTATAAGTAACTTATAATATCAAAAAAAAAATTTCCAATTAATTATAATTATATTAGTAATTAAATATTATTATAGTTATTAATTATTAATATATGAGTCCAACAAAAAAATAATAATAATTATAACAAATTAATCACACATTTTATCGACAAAATCTTTAGGACATTGAATTAACTTATCATTTATGCTAACATTGCTGTCGTTGTTGTTGTTGTTTGTGACAGCAATTTGCATAAAACTATCAATTAGTTGCCAATAGTTGGTTGAACCGATTGGACTAAACTGTTGCTTAAGATAACTAACCGGATCAGCGGTTTGCGACAACCGTTTGGTTAGTGTATAGATAAACGATCCGCACAGACATATATCAGGGGAACAACCCATAGGTATGGGTGACTGTAGTTCAGTATTGATGGTCC